AAAACTACCCCCTTCAATGCAAGCCTCCGGGTTGGGACAACGCATAATATAATGAGACCAAGCGATTCAAGCAACACATCGGGCATACACACATCGTGACTTATCGTCTGGGTCGTGGGCTGCGGCCTGGCAACCCCGACGGCGACGACGACGAAACGGGAATCTATTTTTAGTCGGCCACTTCCCAGTCGGGCGCTGCGACCACCCTGGGCATTTCTTAATCGTTTGGGCCGTTGTGCGGAGCCTTTCGTCCATGATGACGCGCGCGCCGTCTCACACGTCAAGTTGTCTCTTTGTTTGGCATGGCAATGCAACTAACGCCTGACTTTCAACGTGCAACTCGCTTTCATCATGTGCTGCAAAAGAGATGGTATGTAGAAGGCATTTTTTACAGTCCACCTCGTGTGCAACCGACTGCACTGTGCACGGGACCGTATACAGCTGGCAAGGGTTCGGTGGCAGTTCTTTTTTTTGTGCGGTTCAGCTCACACTTTCCTTCTCGTACGATGTCGTACATCCTTTTGCAGCCTGGGGTCTACTCACAAGCGACGTACATTTCAGCAACATTGGGCTGGTTCTGAAATACTGAATCTGTCGCCGCGCCGTTTGTCTTGAACGCGCCCACGTGGACAACGCTGGCACCACGGCAAACCCACGGCAAACCCTGCGCCCCGCGCCCAAAGTAGACGACGACGGAACCGCGGCAAACCCCACGGCGAACCCACCGCGTCCGAGGCGGCGTTTGCCCTGGTGGCCGCGGCGCCCTCCCCAAGACGTAAGGCCGCGCGTCGGAACAAACAGCGCGGCGACGTCTAAACAGACAACATCTCTTTGGGACGCATCTTCGCGAAAATGCGCGATTGGCAACTCCTCGTGAAAATGCGAAGAGACGCCTTGCAGAGCAACTGCATGCGCACAGATATTCGACTGTGAAGAAAAGAATGCATCACGACTGTGGTTCGACTTGGGGCGAATCTTAAACTTCTGCCCGCTCGGGGATCTACTGACCGGGACAATCCAAGCCCAGGCCAGTCAGGCTCTGCACGATCCTGCAAGATCCTGCGGGATCCTGCAGGATCCTGCCTGGGTCAATGCCCCCCTGGCTATGCAAGATCCTGCAAGATCCCTGTCTGCACTGACCCCGGTGTCTGAAGCCCCGATCCAGGAGAGCGCGAAATCGAATCGATAAGTCGGATCGGCGATCGAAATGAACCGGATCGGCGGAAAGCGGCAGCCGAGTCGGGAAGAGTCGGATCGGCGGACATCGGCCGGCTGGCGTGCCTCCGACGAGAGTAATCGGAACCCCAATCGGAATCCCGAGTCGAGTCGAATCGGAATCGGCAGCAACCGAGACCGAATCGAACCGGAATCGGAAGCAACCGAAATCGAGCCCTGCGACCCACTTCCGCGGGCCTTCCGCCGGCGGAGCCGCCACCGTCCTTTGCCTCCGCGGCCCTCGCGCCGAGGAAGCGGTGGCAACCCCTGCGGCCCTCGAGGGCGAGGTCCCCCCCCCCCCCCCTCTGGAGCGCCCCCCCTCGGCTCGAGCCGAGGAGCGCACTCGTCCTCTCCGGAGGGGCAGCGACGATCGGCTGCACGCGAGAGTGACCCCACTCTGGGCTTCTCAATCAGCGCGGGGGAGGACCCCCCCGACGGGGGTCAGCCTCGCCTCGTCGTCGCGCCGCGGCGGGGGTCGGAGCGCCTTCGGCGCGCGGTGGCTGCCCGCGACGGGGGTCGATGTGGGGCTCTCGGCGGAGGTGACGCCCCCCCGACGCTTGTTAAGAAACTCGGAGTAGGCAAGAGTGACCGTTGGTGCGCGGCTTAACGAGGGACGCGGAGGGGCCAAACACAGGCGCGCAAGCCGCTGCCATCGCTTCGCGTTCAGCGATCGGGGGACCCCAGTCGGCCCGCACTAACTCCGGCGAAACGTCCAGTCGAGACAAGGGGGGACCAGCCCAGGAGGAGAAGCATCGACCTGGAATCGGCGATACGTCGTCGATAGATCGGCGATGGGCCTCCGACGGCGAATCCGCGCGCTCCTGGGCGGTGTGGTTTGATCGGGCTCGCATCGGCGATCAATGGGCGATCGGGGTCGATGCGCCTCCCTCCAGGAGGAGTAGGAGGAGGAAGACGAGGAGGAGGAGGAGGAGGAGGAGGAGGAGGAGGAGGAGGAGGATCCCCGTCCTCGGTGCTTTTCGGGCCATGTAGCTCGGGCCTCCGGCGAGTGTGCCCCCGAGCGCCGCATACTCTGTGTCAGCTCTGGTGCGTGCACCGAAGGGCTGGAAGACCAGCCTCAGATACTGAACCGTGTCTCCTCTGGCACTAGTTTTGGCGGCGAGCGAGGGTGGTGGTGGAAATGAGAAGGATAATGTCTTCTCAGAAGGCGGCGGGCTTCTCAGAAACCCTCCGGCCTTCTGAAAGATTTTCCGCGTCTCCAGGGAAAGCGGAAAACACTTCTCAGAAGGCCAGGGGACTTCCGAGCCTTCTGGGAAGGCTTTCTCCTTTTCACTTTCCCCCTGGGCTCGCCGCCGATAGTTGGCACGTGCTGGTAACAGCGTGCGTCTTCCAGCACGGCTGCAGGACCTTCGAGCAGTCGCCGAGGGCCCTGGAGCAGGGCAACCTCCTCGGCACCCCCCTTCGGGGACGGACTGGCCCAGGTCAGTGCGAACCAGGGTGGAAGAACCTCAGCATCAGCAGCCGCAACCACAGGAGGCTCGAGGAGATGAGGATCAGGACCCAAGGACTCCGTCTCAGGAAACTCTTCGTCCGGCATTCTTTGGCAGTCAACGAACCCAACAAACCCCAAGCCGATTTTCTTGAGGTAGTCTACTCCACAATTATCTCTGGTCCATGCAAAGGCCATCGAGGCCGTCAGCTGGGCCGAAAAATGAGGAGGAGAAGGAGGAAGAAGAGGAGGAAAAGGATGAGAAGGAGGAGGAGGCGGAGGAGGAGGAGGAGGAGGAGGGGGAGGAGGAGGAGGAGGAAGGGGGAGGAGGAGGAGGAGGAGGAGGAGGAGGAGGAGGAGGAAGGGGGATGAGGAGGAAGAGGAGAAGGATGAGGAGGAGCAGGAGGACGGGGAGGAGGAAGGGGGAGGAGGAGGAGGATGGTGAAGCAGTACCGAGCCAGAGGCGAGCCCGAACCAGTCCGTCTGCGAGAGCCCCCCGGGCCACTGCAGCGCGCTGGAGACTGCGCTCATTGCTGCGGTCACGGTCATGGCGCTCCACCGATGGGGTGGGTGGAGCGGGGCACCGCGGCGGCGGGGGGAGGAGAAGGAGGAGGAGGAGGAGGAGGAGGAGGAGGAGAATGAGGAGGAGGAGGAGGGCCGTCTCCTGAGCCAGCCACGGCTTCAGTCGTGCGAGGGGCTACGTAGAAGTTGATCAGGACCAGCGTGCGGGCGCAGAGCAAAATGGGGGCTGCTGCGGCTGCTGCTCCTCCTCCTCCACAACAGCCCAATACGAGCATGACTCTCCTCACTCTCCAAATGCTGTGCGAACGGGGCCCATTTTCTCCCGACATGAGATCTCAAACACTGATGTGTCGTACGGTATTGCAATTCGGAATGTGCATTGCTATGCTGTATACATATCGCCATACATGCGTATATACGTACCTACCTACCTACCTGCCGATATACATACATACATCCGTCCACACACATTCACATACATACATACATACATCCGTACACTCATACAACCAACCATACAACCACACATACATACATACATACATACATACATACATACATACATACATACATACATACGTACGTACGTACGTACGTACGTACCCACCTACATGCACACATGCATACATGCATGCATACATACATATATGAGACCATACACACATCCATCCGTACACATACATACACACATACATACATGCATGCACGCACACATACATACATACATACAGACATGCAGGCATGTATGCATACATACACACATTCGTCCATCCATGCGTATATACACGCATACACACTTACGTGCAACCAAACACACATACACACATACATTCACACATACATGCATACACACATATACTTACATCCGTGTACACATACATATACACATCCGTCCATATATCCATCCATCCATCCATCCATCCATCCATCCATCCATCCATCCATCCATACATGCATGCATGCATGCATGCATACATACATACATACATACATACATACAAACACACATACATACATACATGTATGCATTCATACGGACATTCGTCCATACATACATTCATACATACATAAATGCATGCAACCGTTCTACCCTCCCTCCCTCACTCTACTCTCCCTCACTCTACCCTCCCTCCCTCTTCTTCTTCTTCTTCGTGCGCTGGCGTGGCGCGGTGGCCACGGGCACTGGCCGGCAGGTCGGCTCAGCGCGGAAACGACAGCCGTTTCGCTTCTGGTCACAAGTAGCGTTTCACGGCAGAAGGTTCTAATGGGGGCATGGAAGGGCCACTCAGAAGCACTTCTTGGGCCTCCTGGGGCCAAATTTGGGCGTGACTCTGCCTCCACTTCCCTCCCCCCTCCTAGATCCTTCTCCTCCTCCTCCTCCTCCTCCTCTTCCTCCTCCTCTTCCTCTTCTTCCTCGATCCTTCTCCTTGATCCTCCTCCTCCTCCTCGATCCTCCTCCTCCTCCTCCTCCTCCTCCTCCTCCTCTCCTCCTCCTCCTCTCCTCCTCTCCTCCTCCTCTCTCCCCTCCTCTTCTCGATCCTCCTCCTCCTCCTCCTCGATCCTCCTCCCCCTCTTCCTCGATCCTCCTTCTCCTCCTCCTCCCTTTCCTCCTCTTCCTCGATCCTCCTCCTCGATCCTCCTCCTCCTCCTCCTCGATCCTCCTCCCCCTCTTCCTCGATCCTCCTACTCCTCCTCCTCCTCCTCCTCCTCCTCCTCCTCCTCCTCCTCGTCCTCCTCCTCCTCGATCCTCGTCCTCCTCGAGCCTCCTCCTGGGCCCTCGACCCTCGACCCTCCTCCGGCCCGGGACGGGGCCCGCCGCGAGGTGCCGGCCCGCGCCCGCAGAGGCCACGGCGCGCTCCAGCGTCGAGGCCGTCAGCGGCCCCAGGGTGAACGCGGCGGCACCGACGGGGGGGGAACGAGGATCGAGGATCGAGGAGGGGAACGAGGATCGAGGAGGGGAACGAGGATCGAGGAGGGGGGAGCGAGGGGATCGAGGATCGAGGAGGGTCGAGGAGGGTCGAGGATCGAGGAGGATCGAGGAGGGTCGAGGATCGAGGAGGGATCGGGGGGCGGCACCGACGGGGGGGGGATCGAGGATCGAGGAGGGTCGAGTAGGATCGAGGAGATCGACTAGATCGGGGATCAGGGAGGCTTGGGGGGGGGGTCGAGTAGGATCGAGGAGATCGGCTAGATCGGGGATCAGGGAGACTCGGGGGGGATCGAGGAGGGCCGAGGAGATCGGCCAGATCGGGGATCAGGGAGGCTCGGGGGGGATCGAGGAGGGCCGAGGAGATCGACTAGATCGGGGATCAGGGAGGCGCGGGGAGGATCGAGGAGGGTCGAGGAGATCGAGGATACCTCAGGGGGGGATCGAGGATATCGCGGAGATCGGGGATGAGGGTGGCCGAGGAGATCAAGGATCGAGCATATCGAGGTAGAGGAAAAACAACTGCATAAACACATGCTCCCACCAGCCCTCTGGGCGAAGGTGGTATCACGAGTTGTTTTCTTCCCTCTGACAAAACCCGTCCTTCCCTTGCTCGAGGGAGGGCTTTACCACTGTTCCCTATCAATTTACACCCCCTCCTCCACCCGATTGGCAGCCAACCCAGACTCATGAGGGCACCCATGCGGTCCCCCACCCTCCTTGTCAGAAACAAAGCAATGTTGGTGCAATCGATGCGATGCTATCTATGCAGTGCAATCAATGCAATGCAGTTCACGTGGTGCGACTCTATGAGGTGCAATCTATGCGGTGCAGTCCATGTGGTGCAACGTATGCCGTGTAATTTATATGGTGCGCTCTAAATGGTGCAGTCCATGCAGGGCAATAGATGTGCCACAATTTACGCAGAGCAATCTATGCGGTGCAATCTAAGTTGTACAATCTGTTCTGTGCAATCTATGTGGTGTAAGCTATGCGGCAACGGCGACGGGCGGCGACGGCGACAACAAAGGCGCCAGACCGTCATCCAGGCCCAGAAGCAACGGCGACGGACGGCTGCGACGGGTGACGACTGCGACAGCAAGCGCGCCAGATCGCCAGCCAGATCCAGACGACGGGCGGCGACAAGGCGGCGACGGGGCGGCGATGGCGACAATGTGGCCGCCAGACCGCCAGCCAGGCCCAGGCGGCGACGGCGACGTCACAGCCGCCAGACTGCCAGCCAGGCCCAGCTCCTTGGACCACAAGTAAGATGCCTTAAGTGAAAACGCTGTGGGGTAACTGCACTTTGCCTCCAACTCTGGAGCATGCGCGGGCGCCCCGCGACCACACCGCATTAGTTTCTGACAGGGACGGCGGGGGTGCCAGCAAATTGCTTGCTGCGCGCAGGCCATCTCCCCCCCGCCATCCCTTGCAGAAAGCAATGCGCAGCACACTGTGCACCAAAATCTGGATCATGTGCGCACGCCCCGCGATCACTTTGCATTAGCATTTGACAGAGACGGCGGGGGGGCAACATATCGACTGTTGTGTGCAATGCCAACACCCCCAACCGTCCCTAACAAAAACCAATGCAACATGAACTTTGCACCTGTGGTAGGAAGAAGGGGAGGGAGGCGGGGGGAGTGAGGGGAGGGAGGTGGTAGGAGGAAGGGGAGGGAGATGGGAGGAGGAAGGAGGTGGGAGGAGGATGAGCCAGGAGGAGGAGGAGGAGGAGGAGGATCGAGGAAGAGGAGGAGGAGGATCGAAGAAGAGGAGGAGGAGGAGGAGGAGGAGGAGGAGGAGGAGGAGGAAGGAGGAGAGAAACAAACTAGCGACTGGCAGGAGAGCAGCGGGAGGGAGGGCGGAGCGCGCCAGCGGGCTCGCCGCCGCTCAGCACCGAGGGGCGCGCCGCCCCTCCGGCCAGGGCCTGGGCCGCGTCGTCGTCGTTTTCGTTTTCGTCGTCGTCGTCTTTGTCGTCTTTGTCGTCTTTGTCGTCTTTGCCGTCGTCGTCGTCGTCGTCGTCGTCGTCGTCGTCGTCGTCGTCGTCGTCGTCGTTTCGTCGTTTAATCGTCGTCGTCGTCTTTGTCGTCTTTGTCGTCGTCGTCGTTTCGTCGTTTAATCGTCGTCGTCGTCGACGTCGTCGATGGGCAACTACGACAGAATGCATACTTATCCATGACTCGTAGGATCTGCGTCCAACTTCGCCTTCACCAAGACGTACCTTGCATATTCAAATTTGCATTCTGAATGGGGCTGTCCGACAACCCACATAGGCTTCAAGTCCGCACAAACAGACGTGTACGAACCCGAAAGTCTGGCTACGGCTCCCGCGGGAAAAAATTAGGGAACGCGCAGATCGCCGTCCTGTGGTGACATACCGAAAAAAGGCGCCAATGGAATGGAAAACACGTGGGCATCTGGGCTCCACTACCGTCACATTCCACCTGGGGTTCACCATATCAGAGCTTGTGCAGAAGGGAACATACATATTGTTTAGAGAGGTGCTGTGCACCCTGAGCCCTTCCCACCACAGCCTTACCCTCCGGCTGCCCAGACCTCCAGCGCTCGACCAGAGAATTCAGCGCCCGGGTCGGGATTATGTCTGGCCCATCCACATGCTGGCGAGCGAATTGCTGCTTAGCCACAGAGAACGATGGACGCAATGCGCTTCATTCCTCCTTCTCCTTCTTTTCTCTTCCGCCTACTCACCTGTTCCTACTCCTCCTTCTCCTCCTCCTCCTCCCCACGAACAATCGGTCTCTCCAATGCCCAGTATCTCAAAGCTGCACTGTGCCCGGGTCGAGCGGGTGATGCCTCCACCCCATCTAAATGATCGAGAACATGCTGCGGCTATCGGCGAGCATCGGAAGGGGAAGAAGAGGGGGGCGGACGGAGGTGGTGGAGGGAGATGGATGAGGACAACGACGCAAGTCGAAACCACTCAGCGTCCCACGGAGTCAGGCGGCTATCGTCTTGTAGGTGGCACTCCCCGTGGCAAATCGTAGTCCGACCCGCGGGCTCCATGCTAAGCGGACACCGGCCAAGCTCACGAGCGGCGTCGTCGCCGCAGCCGCCGCCACCGCCGCCGCCGACGCCATCGCCGCCGTCGCCGTCGCCGTCGCCATCGCCGTCGCCGTCGCCGTCGCCGTCGCGGACGCCGTCGCCATCGCCGTCGCCGTCGCCGTCGCTGTCGCCGTCGCCGTCGTCATCGTCGTCGTCGTCGGCGTCATCCTCGTCGTCGTCGTCGTCGCACCCGCTGTCGTCGTCGTCGCTGGCTGCCGCCATGGTCAGAACACTCCCCGACCTGTCAGCGTTTTGTTCCAACTGGAACTCCTAGACGAACGCAAACGCTACCACGAGGGCGGCACAGGATGCCAGACAGAGGCGGACGATTTCGAAACCTCGACTCTGCTTGGGTGACCGCTGGGGTTGCTAAGGGGAGAAAAAGTTTTGAGTAAATGCTAAGGTGCGTTGAGCCTGGCCCGACCTCGCTTATGAGTGGGTTACTAATGCCCGAAACTGCTTACTGAGGGCAAAACCCGCCGCCGCCGCCGCCACCGCCGCCGTCGTCGTCGTCATCGTCGTCGTGGTCGTGGTGGTGGTGGTGGTGGTGGTCGTCGTCGTCGTCGTCGCAAAGGGCACCGCCGCCGAAGCCGCCGCGGCCGCCGCCGCCGCCGCCGCCGCCGCCGCCGTCGTCGTCGTCGTCGTCGTCGTCGTCGTCGTCGTCGTCGTCGTCGTCGTCGTCGTCGTCGTCGTCGTGGTCGTGGTCGTGGTTGTGGTCGTCGTGTTCGTCGTCGTCGTCGTCGTCGTGCAAAACGCCACCGTCGCCCCCGCCGCCGCCGACGCCACCACCGCCGCCGTCGTCGTCGTCGTCGTCGTCGTCGTCGTCGCCCACGCCGCCGCCGCCACCGCCGTCGTCGTCATCGTCGCTTGGTCGTCGTCGTCGTCGTCGCTTCGTCGTCGCCTCTGTCGTTGTCGCAGCATTCGTCGTCGTCGTCGTCGTCGACGTCGTTTTCATCGTCGTCGTCGTGGTCGTCGAACACGCCGCCGCCGCCGTCGTCGTCGTCGTCGTCGTGTCGTCGTCGTCGTCGTCGTCGTCGTCGTCGTCGTCGTCGTCGTCGTCGTCGTCGTCGTCGTCGTCGTCGTCGTCGTCGTCGTCGTCGTCGTCGCCGCCGCCGCCGCCGCCGCCGCCGCGCCGCCGTCGCCGTCGTCGTCGTCGTCGTCGTCGTCGTCGTCGTCGTCGTCGTCGTCGTCGTCGTCGTCGTCGTCGTCGTCGTCGTCGTCGTCGTCGTCGTCGTCGTCGTCATCGATGTCGTCGTCTCCGTCGCAGACGTCGCAGCCGCCGTCGTCGCCGCCGCCGTCGTCGTCGTCGTCGTCGTCGTCGTCATCGTCGTCGTCGTCATCATTGTCGTAATCATTGTCGTCGTCGTCGTCGCCGCCGTCGTCGTCGTAGTCGCTGTCGCCGTCCCCGTCGTCGTCGTTGTGATCGTCGTCGTCGTCGTTTTCGTCATCATCGGAGCCACCGCAATCGCCCCGGCCACCGCCGCCGCCGTCGTCAACGTCGTCGTCGTCGTCGCCGCCGTCGCCGCCGCCGTCGCCGACGGCGAGGGCGTCGTCGTCGCAGCCGCCGCTGTCGCCCCCATCGCCACAACCGCCGACGGCGTCGTCGTCGTCGACGCCACCGTCGTCGTCGTCGCCGTCGTCGTCGTCGTCGTCGTCGTCGTCGTCGTCGTCGTCGTCGTCGTCGTCATCGTCGCCGTCGCGGCCGCCGTCGGCGTCGTCGTCGTCGCAGTCGTCGTCGCCGTCGTCGTCGTCGTCGTCGTCGTCGTCTTCGTCGTCCCCGTCATAGCCCCGTCGCAGTCGGTGTCGTCGTCGTCGCCGCCACCAACTTCGTCGTCGTCGTCGCCGTCGTCGTCGTCGTTGTAGCAGTCGCCGGTGCACCCGCCGCCGCCGCAGCCTCCGTCGCCG